ACCTAGCCTTTTATTTTCTTTCCAACATCAAATTCACTTGATACACTGGTGAGAATCCTGATACAGGTTGGTACTTAAGAGTACCGAAGGAAATCCAGGGCTAAGTAAGTGTGGTGCACTGCAGGATGTCATTTCTGTCACTCCTTCACTTCAACCCCTTTCCCTTTTGCAGTTTCCAGTCACATACATACTTTCAAATTGACCTTGAATTTGACAGTCAACTCCAACACTACACTAGATTTACAAATATGATTAGGGTATGAGAACAGGATATATCAGAGAGACCTTCCCCAACCAGATCCAATTAATCACACTACAGAACACATATCCAGGAACATCATTTCCCATAAATTAATCAACCCAAGCTCGTACGTATAGAGAAAAGAAGACAGCTCCCTCTACTGGGCGAGACAATGCAGCTCCTCCTGTCCTTCCCCCTACACGCCACAGAACAGACTTGTGCATATTTAATTCCCCAACAATTTTTTTTTTTTTTAAAATCCAATCTACAAGATGGTATCGAGTTGTTTAGATTGCTCCACAGTGTCAGGAATTGGCCTACAGAAACCAAACTTCTGTAGTTTCTACATTTAAAAGCACAGAGAAGAAAATTCTTCCCACAGACCCATGTAAGAGCCTGACAAAGTAACACCCTATCTCTAGGTGAAACACTTGGAAACCCTTATGTCAGTGTTCACTGTCAGCCCAGATCTTGGAATAGATGCAGTGTAATTCACAATATGCATTTAACCTCTGGCTTTTCTTACTGCTACTCAATTAAACTCTTTCTTGTACACCCCCACCTCAAGAGATAGCCTTTACCTTGTTTAAGGGAATGGCTGCAGCTTTCTACCTGCATGAGGCTTCGCCACAAGAGCAGCTGCATGCAATTGCTAGCATGCAGAACAAAGAGTGATGAAATATCAGACCACAGGTGGACAGCAGACAATGGCACAAGTGAAAGGCAATGATCTGTATTTCAAGCACTTATACTAGGATCTTCTAGGAAAACTATAACCTTTTTCCTTTCTCAGTCATCCCATCTGAAACACAAGGCTGGAAGTAACACTTCTCATTCATACAGCATTACTGTTCTTCCTTCTGTAGATCTCAAAACACTCACAAAAGTGGGTAAGAACTGTCCGCTCAGCACAACAACCCAGCCTGCACCAATTCCTGTCAAAGGCACTACCAGGTCAATAGACAAACTGCAGATCTGTGCCCTCTTGAATCAGGAAGTTCTTCATAGCTTTGCTACAAGTTTGCACAGCAAACTTCTTCAAAAGAAACGCAGGCTATGTCCAAGCTGTTTCCCTCTAAAAGCAGAAGCTACTGATACTGCTTCTTTGGAGGCAACAGTAAAAACTGCCACCGAGGAGAAAGTGTGACATCTGGAGATCCGTTCAAGCTCTTCATTTAGAGCAGATGGGACTAAAGCTCACGACCTGGGCACGCCATGCTTAGAGCTGGCAGGCACTCACTCATCACACAACTAAGTGACTCCTCCAACACAACATGTGTTTCTTTTCACTTTTCAAAAGATGCCTTTGTGAGTTGAAGCAGCAGCAAAACTCTAGTTTTTTCGTCACCTTGACTTTCACCATCTGACAGTTTCTTTAACATTGCACAATTCCTGTCCTTCAACTTCCTACAAGTACCAGACAACATTTGTTCAACCTTTGACAGCATAGTAAGTTTTTGGAGCTTTTTTGGGTTGAGATGTTTAATGGCAGACAAAGGGATGGACAAAAATAATATAATACTTTTAAAAACAGAGAGATCACACTCTCAAGTAACATTTATACCATTTTAAATCTACTTTTAAAATTACCTTAGTGGCAAACTTGCTACTCTGTTTAAAAATATTTTTCCAAATAAATCTGATGAACAGCAACTGGAGCACATATATACCTACAAGCCCTAAACCATATCCTTGTTGCTATCAATTATTTTCTCTCAGCACACACATTTCCACCTTCCAAAAACATCAATAATCACATTTTCTGATGAAAAAATAAACACCTCCATTTAAGTCAAAATTATTCACAAATGGAGTAAAGCACAGAGCTGAAAAAGCCTCCATTTGGCAGCCAGTAACCTGCAAGAAACAAATCTCGTCTGAAGTCGAGACACAGATACAGATGCTGTGGTAAAAATCGAAGAGCACTATAGATCCAACTTACGGACAGGCTCTTCACAAGCACCTCTTAATTCACAACTTTTGACAGCACAACCATAGGCATGGAGAGACTATGGAAACCTCCTTACCACCACTGATAAGGATGGGCAAAAGCAATAACCTCCTCTTCTTCTACTTTCATTCTACAACAAGCACTCAGACTTTGCATTTGAGTTTTAACTAGGGAAGAGGAGAATAAAGCCGAAGTAAACGTAGGACATCTAAACCATCGCCAGCTTTGAGCAACAAGGACAAGCAGCTGACAGTGAAACAGGACGTCTTTGAACAACAGATCACAGTTTGGTCTAGACCAGTGCAGAGGATGCCTTCCACGCTCTTGCCTGCTCCATGGACTGACAAACTTTGGCCCTACAGGCCTTTTAATTCAGAAAATGTTATCAACATGGCTGCAGGCCAGGAGCAGCTCAGGTCAACCGTGACTGAAATTCATGTGCCTTTCAGCTACCCTTCAGCATTTGTACTGCCATGAGCTTGAATGAGTGGGAGAGGTTTATGTGTAACGCCAGTAAGGGCAAAAAACATGCTTGGAAAAGGATGGCTATTCACGGTCTAATAAACCTTGTTCCTCTACCTGCCTTGCCCTCATGGGTTCCCTCAGAGAGACCCAAAGGCGTCTCAGTTCTTTTCTAACACGGAATTCCAAAGGAGCAAGAAACATATGCAGACAACACAATCCACTGCAATACAAAGCAGCCATTCTCACTAAAAAAAAAAAAAAAAAAAAAAAGAAAAAAAAGAAAAAGACAAATAAAATTGCCCACTTACATGGAATGGAAACAAACAGCTATCTCATGGTCTGGAGACAATATGAGCCTGTCTTAAAAAGTAACTGGAGAGCCCTATCCAAGCTAGTATTTCACAAAAAAGCTCTTGAGATAGAGCAGTATCATGATGTACTATCTAGATTAAGTCATCATTGACTTAAAAGTTATATAAGGAGAAACAGAACATACATAAATTCTAGACAAATATGTTCTTATTGAAAGTAAGTGAAGGTAAACTGGCTGTCTGGTTTTTTGCATTAATACTGACAGAAACTGACTGCTGGGAAAACAGCACTCAACCTCTCCTTCCATTAGCAAAACTATCCATGTGCTAGGGAATGATTTTGTACTGCAAAGGCAGCCAGTGTCTGTACTGCAGACAAACCCTTGGTTGACTTCATCAGTTCCTGGAGCACAGGCCTTGCTGTCAAAGCTGAATCCCAGCTTTGTCTTCCGCATCACCTCAACAGCCAGTTCTTTGCTCTTGGAACTCACCGCTCACACAGGCTGGGAGGATTCACCTGCAAAAGTGTTACAGGTCCCCCTGGGATGAGTGTCTCACACTCCCAACTATGTTTGTTCTCTGCACAGCTTCTCTACTCTCTCCCTACTGAAGCAAACTGCAAAAACACAATTCCCCTTCAGCCTGACACCCACGACTGTAGTTGCCACAGATGATCGTTACTGTAGACAGCATGTGTAGCCTCTATACTCAGTGGTGAGCATAGAAAAATCTGTGCTGGCACTGCTGGTTTTGGTGCTCCACAAGGGAGCAACTTCTATTCAGAGAGCTGCACTGAATTACAGCAACGATCATTATTTGACATAGTGCTTCTCTAGTACTAAATATCATTCACATGGTTGTTCAAGTCAAAGGAGTTTCACAGCTCATGATCTTTGGAGGCAAGAAAGAGGGAAAATGATAGGCTGAACATTTGTTGGGTGTTTGCCCTTCTCCAAAGCAGATTAGACATCCGATGTAACCCTAGACTAAAAGCTTCAAGACCACTAAAAGATGAATTTTTACAGTTTCTTACTATGATAAATGACACAAAGCACCACGCTCCAATGTTTCTGAGAGCTCTCTTGACTTTTGCACTTTCATTCTTCTGGAAAAAGCAAGATCAAAGGGAAAAATTAAGAAGTAAAGAAACTAATTCAGAAGGTGGAAGCCTAACACCCAACCCCTGCTTCCTGCCTTCCCCCCAAAATAGTCCTAGGTTAAACTAGCAAAATAGGATCTCATCAGGTGCAGGTGTTCTTCCTTTTCTTCCCTGGCACAGAAGACACAAAGTATTTGGACTGTCCCTGTAGAAAATGACACCCAGAAAAGATTCTTATTTCATATGCATGAGAGATACGCACCTCCACTGAGACCGAGACACACACTTGAAAAAGAATCTTGTTTACTCCCAACCACAGCAAGTCTGCAATTAATTTCTTTTGACCTTTGTGAGACTGCTTTACACTGGGGAAGCAAGGTTGTGCACTATAATGAACTGGCTAGAAAAAGAAATAAACAGTAACAATGCACTCCTTGCATGACCATCTCTAAATTACAGATTTTTTGCGTAACAAAGTCAACAATATGTGCCCTCTCTGCAAACTACCACTAAGTCACACAATTGACAGGCAAGACCAGGCTATATTGAAAAGCTTCTAACAAGGACAGACTGCCTTATCCACCCTTGAATCTGATTGTGATAAGACCACAATTTCACTACTGCCTGCCACTCTGGCATTTGTACAAACATTTTACCAATGCTATTTGTCTGTACAGACTGATAAGAACTACTGCATCCATCACCAAAACAACTACCAGTGGAGCAGCAAAATATGACCGTTTAGGTCACAGCAACCTGTGTGACCTAAATTACAGTACTTTGGTATTTTACTCAAATATTTATCACCTGCAGAAACAGAGTGCTTATCTCTGGCTAGGCTCAAAAGAATTAGCCTAAGAGTCTGTTTCCTTCAAGTCCAGCACTTACACGATGAAGGAGAGAGCAAAAGCATTCTGTTACACGTATTCTTACCTGTCCTGGGGTCAAACAGCTGGTTGGCCTCCAAGTCTGTGAAAGTGCTGAAGCAAATCGGGCATTTAAAAGAGGCGCGATTGGTGGAGTCTCTTTCATCTGTCTCAATCCTCCTCCTCATGTGGTCCAGCTTATACTTCACCACATTAACCAGAAGGCGGTAGTTGATGAAGTAGTAGTTATGACGGGTGGTTTTGCCATCTGGAGCTGTCTCTACCCTCATCCTGCATTTGATGAACTTGTCACCCTTGAGGGTGTTGAGGACGGCCCGCAACTGCTTCCTATCAAACTTAAGGAGCTCTAACATATCCTCTTCCTTCACACAGGGGTTTCTGATGAGAATGTCCAGAGCCAAAGCATGTTCAATGCCATAAAAGCCACGCACCACGTATTTGGCAAGGCGTTTGAGAGCGGCTGGGACCTCAGTGAGGACGTCTGGGTCAGTCATAGCAGGTTCAGATCTCAAGCTTCATGTATACTGCAATGGAAAAAAGGCAGATTGATTCTTAGCTAGTCTTCTGATTTCAGAAGTTTTGATTTATCTCACAGCTAAGAAAAGGATGGAGTGTTTTCCCTTTCTCTTTCCCAAGCCCTCTACTGTCTTCTTAAGGTGTTAATAATGCCAATGTTACAGAAGTAGAGTTAGGAAATGGTACCTGTCATTCATAACAAAACGATGGAAAACTTTAAAAAATTGCACAAGAAACTGGTACCATAACATACAGCAGATTTCATTTCTGGTCAGTGATAGCCAACAGAGCTGGAACAAGAAAGCTGTCTTGAAGCTGAGCTCCAGTAGACAGCTTCATGATCAGCTGAGACTCGTAGCTTGGGAGAAGCAGGAAAAGGCTACAGCAAGAAAGGTCCTAAGACAGCCTAAGAAAGTGGAAGAGTCTTATGGCTCCAGTTGATGTCACTCGATCACATTACAAGTAGCCCTGAAAACTTATGAACAGTCTTTGCAATGAATTACATTCATCTTACCTCTAAAGGAAAGATTGCACTGAGCGGGCTTCTCATTTACAATGAAGTGAACAAATCAAGCAAGAAAAATGTAAGGATGGGTAAGGAATGGTCTGGAAAATAACAGAATGCCTTCGTGTCTATGTTCAGCCTGTACCCAGGGCTAAACTGTAACAGTCGCTCTATCCCCTGATGACCCCTCACCAGCCAGAAAGGGGAATCGGGAAAAGCAGAGCAGATCTGTGGGTGGAAGTGAGAACAGCTTTAATGAAAGACCACCAATACCAACAAAGGTATACAAAGTTATACTCAGCCAAATGCAGCGGTCACAATCAAAAGGAAAACAGTCCTCCGGAAAAAACAGAGGAGAAGCAGGAGGAACCCCAGCAGGAGCTCCCTTTCCTCAACAAACCTTCCCCCTTTATAACGACCATGACATTATTAGTATGGGCTACACCTGTAGCTAACTCAGGTTAGCTGTCCTGGCTGGCTTGAAACTGCTAATGGCCTGGCCAGCATGGCTGGCCTAGGATTCTATCCCAGCCAAATCAGGACAATCATATATAGGATTGTATCACACAACGAATTCCTTATATTGTCACCCCTGCCACAGATGTAGCAAAAAATCAAACCCCAGAAGATAACTAAAAGCAGTGACCCTTCTGAAGCAGCCAGTTCTGTCCAGTGGAGAGAAAAAGGGAAGCAACTCCATAAGGCATAAAGGTTTACTACCATTTCACAGGGTGGTTTTGCGCATTTTCCCTCCACTCTTTCAAGTCTATGCAACTCTAGGCATCCCCTCCACTCCTAATGCACTTGGATTTCCATGTATGAAAAGTTCAAAATAAGCATGAAGTATTATTGGTGCTTTTGAAATACACATTCAGGGGGGTTACTTCCAGTTAACGTCAAATAAAACTTTGAAGTCTTTTTCAATGTGAGACTTCTATGCTGGTTTAGGATATAAATAACCAGTTCTTAAGCAAAAGGTTCCTTCAACGGAAGAAAAAACCCACACCTTAAGTTCTGTTTGTTCGTTATTGCTAAGCAATTTTTATCCTTGAACTACTATAATAAACAGTAAAACTGCCAATCTCAATTTTCACTTCCATTAGATGTTTCACACACTGTATACATACCTCCCCAGCATTCAAGTATCATATAAAGGAAAGAGGAGAGTGACAGTAGAAGAAAGGATCTGGATGGGTATCCTATTTTCTTCGTTGCTATCATAAAACCTATAATATCCCTTTTGACAAACACCATTACAGGACTTTTCTATACTACCTAGACTAAGACATCCCCCTGAAATCACCAAGCTCTACAAGTAACCAAGCAGCTGATCACTCACTTCCATCAGCTAAGACTGCTCAAAAATCTGTGATCATTTATCACAGTAGCCTGCTTAGATTTTTTTTTTTTTTTGTATGAGAAACACTGCCACGTCAAAAACCTTCAAGCAACATTACATATCGAAGCTTTACTTCTCTCCAACCCCTATCCCCTTCTGCAACCAAAGAGCTATGTTCCTCTCAAGGGTTACAGCCACTGCAACTGCCAACCAATTAAGCTGTGGGTTCTGGAGCTTAACAGTGAGTAAATTAAGATTGTTCTGTCTTTTCTGCCTTTTGGGTAAGAAAAAAACCCACTTCAATTCTTTTCCTTTAGAATATTTCCCTGCCTGAGCTTTTCTTTTTCTCTAACTTAGGGCCAAATGACATTCACGGTGCTCAAACTGAAATGAACTGAACAACATCCGTTGACTGCTGGTGCACATGTTGAGAGTAGCTTACAGAAAACAACGCTTGGATGTCCAGCTCCAGCTTCCCTTCAAGGAAACTAAAATATGTTTATCACAGCATGAGTTAGCTGTGAAACAAGTACTTCTAGAGTCAGGTAGCTTTTTTGCGTGGATTTATTCTCCCACAAAGGACAGTTATATAGAGCTTTGTGTTAAAGGTTTGCATTAGCAATAAAGGATGTCCCATCGTGAGTTAGCCATACAGTACTTTTGAATCTCTAAGATAGACCCGATCTGAATACCACCACAGGACACTGTCCCTGAAAATCAATTTCATTCTGTTGGTATTTTTACTGTCTTTCAGTCACTTAAAGATAAATCCTGGTTTTGACCAAATCTGTCAGCAACATACTGATACTATAAAATAATGTCAATGCAGAAGCTGGCCAGAAGCCTTGATTTATTCAAACTGATTAAGTCTTATTCAGAGTTTAAGCACAGTATAACATGAATGTAAAGATCAACTTTAAATAAAACATGGCACCCCAGAAGAAATTTTAAAAGTCAAATTTTTTAAGTCAAAGTGGTTTTGAGTGCTGATCTCAAAACCAAACAAAACCTTCTCCCCTCACCAATTTGGTCCCCTGAAAATTCCTTGCAGAAAAACTTGGCAACACAACCTGCAGCAGGCTCAGTGACGTTCAGAACATCAGTTCTAACAAAAACAATGGAAAAAAAATGTTTTAAATAGGCATATCTCAGCCTGGATACCTCATCGGAGAGCTAATGGAAAGCATTTTCTCTGCAAGAATCTCATTGGGAAGACAGCTGTAGATATCCACAGCTGCTTTCAAAACAGATTTAATGTACAATTTCCTGAATAATGCACTTAAACAGCTTAAACTGAGACCAATAAATAAAACCACCTCTAAGAGTATATACTTTTCCCTTGGTTTTCAGCAATAGTTAGAGATTTAATAATACTTTTTAGTGTCAATCACTAGAAATTTTTTTTTCATCTAGTGGGACCAGGAGTTCTTACACAATTATTTCTTCTTCTCTACCGGGGATTTTAGTGATGTCCAAATCTTCTACATCCTCAAGTAATGGTGGGCATCTTAAGCGTAATACTGGGTTGGTTTTTTTCCCAGATGTGGACATAGGGAAATACAAGAACACTGAGAACATCACAAACCATTCTTTCCCATTAATGTCCACTTCAAAAAGTTGATTAGCAAGGATTAAATTCTAAATCCTGCAGAAGACAACCTTTGCGTGAGACACCCAACTGACTAGTCTCAAATTATAAAAGCAAGCCACCAAAGAACACCCTCATCAAACTTTGGTCCATTGAAGGTCAACAATGCTGAACACAAGTAACTTGGCTCTGAAAACAAGCAAGGGCACATGCTCAGCAAACACCAGTTTTCATTCTGCATTGAAGCCCAACGCCAACAAGGCCTTGAACAAGATCTGTATGGGCAGATGAAGGACGTATTTTGCAACATCATTCTTGATAATCACGTCCTCACCTAAGTTAGGTGATACAGAACAAAGGCATGAGAAAGGGCACATACCACTGCCAGAACAGGTCAGGGTCTAACAAATTGTTTCTCTAGGCAAAGGTGACATCTGGCTACTCTGCCACGAAGAATCCCAGGCTACAGCATACGAGCTCCACATCGTTACTACATTTCACCAGGCAAGGCAGACAGTGAACCAGCTCACAAATGGTAACCCAGTGCCACAAGAATATCAGTTTAAAATTCAAAAGCATGGGACTTTATCGTTGCATCCTTGAGCAGAGATTTCACCTTCCATCGCAGCAGTAAGTCAAATCTGAATTAATTACATGTGCAAAGAAATACGATAACATCTCCTAAGAAGGTTTTAATGGACGTGCATCTGTTTCATAATGTCTGTACTGACCCTAACAATGCATGAACAAAGGACATTGTCGGGGAAAAAAAAACAAACAAAAAAAACAAACACAATGGGAAGAAACCACTACACAGTAAGTATCTACAGCATCAATAATAATGCACACTGGACAGGATGATATTCGCAAACATCCAAATGAAAATTTTCAAAATTTAAACATGGGCTTTATCAAAAGAGACAGCTACCAGGAAATTGTTCTGGGTAATTACATGAATACAGTTCGGTATTACGGGTT